TTTTAGTACTTAGAAGTAGCGGATTGCGATCCGATACACTAGTACTGGTTCTTGGAAAACACGGTGACCTTAGCTTAGCACTCAGAAAGTTACGCGATTGATAGAAATTGGATGGGCTGAAAATTTCTTGATCAATTGCCAGTGAATAACATAACATCTGTTACTTTCCAATCTTGAAACAGTTTTCAGAATAACTTTGAGAATAATATACACCTTATGGAAGCAAAAAATAATTATATTGTAAATTAAATAAATAAGGGTTGGAAGCATCTCAAGGTACGAAAAAGGCAATCAGACAGTCACGAACTATTCTACGTTAATTGTAAGGCTATGTGATCGTAGTCTTCACGTGGCATGCAGTCTAGTAACGCCCTTAATGCTACCGTGTATCAAATGATATCGTCTTTACTTAATTCTCAATGCGACAGTGTCACATGCTGAACGACTGTGCGACGAAGTAGTAATGTAATCCTTGATACTGACATGAGTTTTAAAGTAGTGTAACTCCTACCTGAACACTCCAGAACGAAGACATACAATCGAAACTGTAGTTACAATGAAATCTACTGACACTTTATCATACGCTTGCTACTTTGAATAACGCCGACACAGGCACGACGATGAGCTATTATTGCTTTCGGACAAAACTTGTGACTTGGGGACTAGTTATTTTAAACACCGTGGGATGATTTCACAATGTCGTTTGAGCTCGTTTCTTCTTTTTCTTAAGTTTGTGGACTCGGTTATTTTGTTAGCGAGTATCATTTTGTACGTTGGGGTGCACGGCAAGAATGACGTCCATGTCACGACAGTACAGAGGAATCTTTTACGTCAAAGAGATGCTGAGTCACTTGCTTCGATTTATCCGACAATGCGCGCGCTCAGTACCGCGAATACTAACGGTAGACGGCACATGTCCGATTCAAGAGTCTATCCGTATAGTGCTGTGGGAATACTGCGCTGGAATACCAGCACCTGCACAGCCACGCTAGTTGCTTCAAAAATCGTGCTTACAGCTGCAGATTGTGTTTTGGACTCGGAAGGTGAAGTACGCATTAGCTTCCCTAGCACTTTCAGTTTTACGCTTCTCCAAGCGGCAACTTTGATAACAGCATCCGTCATTCGAGTGCATAAGCAGTCAGATTTTTGGACTCAGTGGACGCGCAACTTGTATGTTCTAGTCGAGTTAGATGCAGAATTAGGAGATGTCAACGGCGCTTTGCTTCTACCACCTCCAAACACTTTTGCCCAAGACCATCCCATGAAGGTTCAGCTGGTTGACTACGGATGCAATGATGAAACCAGTGAATGCTTTCAACGTTGTGATATTTACTTTTCCACTAACTCAAATGACCCGGAGTATTTGCTGCGCCACGACTGCGATGTGTCGCCAAAGCGTTCGCTAGGCTCGCCCATGCTTATTCGCTCAACTGTAATGGATACATATATTGTCGGAATCTATACGAAGTCGATCGTTGATGACACTGACGACGAGATGCCCACGGGATCGTACAATGGTGCATATCATCAGGGCATTCTGGGATCTTTTGTGCAGCCCCATTTGTCGTCCTTGGTTCAGCAAGAAGAAACATTTACTTCGTCTACTTCTCGCGAAAGCTCAGGCACTTCGTTAAGCAGCACTTCCTCTTCTGATGACGATTTGAATAGTGAATCCAGTAGTCAAGGACAGATGAATCTGATAAATGGAGGCTCAGGTGCAGAAAGGGATTCATCATCAGCTTCGACTGAATCTTCGGCGACATCGTCACAGAATGGGATCGCCCCAACGGCAGCGTATACATGCATAGGATTGGTTTGTGCTGCTTGGCTGGTCATCATCCTGGCCGTTGTTCGCAAAATCCGCGCGAATTATCACAAAGCATTTACCACTTCTTAGTACAATTGTCGAGTTGTAGTTGTCGGCACCATCAATAAATTAAAATTTAAACGTCAGGTGTCAAACATCACAGGACCTTTGAGTTTTCGCAAAGTGTTATCTATCATTCACCTTGATCAAAGGTCGGGCGTGAGCACGGGAATGTAGCACGTAAAAGACCCAAAAGAGTCCACAAGAATGGAGTGCAGCACCATTGCTTGATTTTCAGTGATACAACACAGCACCGAAGCTGTCGACTGTCCATCTACTAAAATCGCTTTGCTTAGCACTTTACTATCAACTGTGACAGTAAACGAACGTTTTTCTCTTCGACTTGCCTTTTCCTCTTCGTCATCTCCACCATCTTCAATCAGATCATCACGATAGCGTAAGTGTGCGAACAATGTTTGCAGTGTGACTGGATTCGTATCGATGCGTAGAATGACAGTGCCCATCCTGCTGGCCTCCACCGACATTGTCTTGTGCATACCTTTTAATTTGTCTACAATGCTACGCAGTGCGCGGAGCGGCGGCATTTCAATTGCAATATCTGGTGCTGGAACACAAGGCTCTTGATAGTGCTCTATAGTACTCATAGCCAATACCTCGATTGGAATACTCTGTATAATATCGATGTCTACGGCGCGCGTCCTCAGACATAAGAAATTGCTGCCGTCTCGCTTAAGTAGACGCAACATAACGGCACTCGCGTCTTTTCCTGATGTTAACGCTTGTTGGAAATGTCGCATGTCACAAAGGAAGCCAATGTGGTTTTCAGCTCGAGACTGCACGACAACGTCATGAAAGAGACGCGTAGTTTGCAGCCGGGCAAAACTTTGGAGCTCCTCTGCGCCACCGCTTTTAAGTGCGATAGATAGCGTTTCGAGGGTTAAAGTAAAGACACAATTTGTCTTTGCGCTGCTCTGTGAGCCCAGGCGCACAAAGGATTGCGCGATATCCAGGAGCACGACAAGTGCGTCTTTGGCCAACGTCCCGCGGAACCGCATTGTTGAAGGTTGAGCGATGCAATTGAATAAAAAGACAGACTACAATTAAATGTATTTGCAGTTTAATTTATCATTGAACTGGATCGGATTACTAAAGATTATTAGGTAGCTCATGCCACATGAGAATGCAAAAGACTAGTAAGTTTGACTTTGATTGTCATATCATTGCGTGATGAAGAGGATATGGCACAGCATTTGGAAGTGGGAAATGGCGATTGAATAACAACATAGAATGATCGCAACTAGCTTCTGTGTCAAATGAACTGTCTGACAAGCACAATGACAGAGAGACGTGCTATCTGTATGAACCCCCTTTGAGCACGAAGGCAAATTCTCCACCTTCACGACCTTGCAAGGCTCGCTTGTGTCAATGCAAAATAAGCCAAATAACCGAAATCAGCCGCTTACTTGTAAATGACAACAAGAATTCTTTCTGTCCGTCCCCCTTTACAATGAAGAGGTAGTGCCTTTAATCTCCCCATCAAGATTACAAGGGACGTTATGACACCAAAACCCCACAAGTTAGCTCGCCTAAACTAACTCCCAACCAACTCAGCCTCCCTTTCATCACCATATATTGAAACAACTATCAAATTCCATTACCCCTTCTCGACTGCCGATCAGGACGTCTCAAACTTCCTCAGTGTCTGTAGACTCCACCTCACATGTATATCGTCATATCCAGTTATAACAAGAGCAATAACATGTTTTATTTTGAACCAATCACAGTTGATATCATCAGTCGTTTCAATGGCTGGAACTGCAGCATCGTTAGCGACTGCGACGTCTAAAGGTCCAACTGTGCCGTCACGTCGGAGTAAACGCAAATTCAAAGAAGTTGCGGACAACTTGCTTCGTACGAAATTTGAGAATCTTGCAGACCAAAACGACAAAATCGTTCCCCTTGCCGTACGTATTTTCCATTGCATTTTTAGTTTGCTTAGTTCTTTCAGTTGTTTGTGCAGAATATTCGCGATGCTATCATGGATCATTTACTGGGCAATACTAAACCTGATCTTCGATGCACAGTTTTATTCATTTGTGAGGAAGTGGTGGACTTTCGACTGCAGCAACACGCAACATCGGCTGAAGAAAAAGTGCCATTGCTGGAAGGAATCAATAGCGATTATCAGTTTTACAGTCGATTGTCCGAAGGCGATAGTATACCACGATGCAGCGCCGCATTGCTGCATCTTCCTATCTCAAAATGCGACATTGAAAAAGAGAAACACGCGGTCAAGAAAGCAATCAAGAAAAGGATAAAAAAATTCAAAAAGAGCTCGGGAGGTATGCTTAACGCTCAACGATAATGTGACTTAATAACTAATGTCCATGCAATTTTATGGCTGTCAGAAACATCAAAGCCTAGCGCTGAGTTCTACGTTTTGTCACCCGAAGAATTGACTATTCACTTGCCGTCGATACCGTTTGACGATGCACAGGCTGCACTGGAATTTGTATCTACAAAACCTTTGTTGGAAGGTGATAATCGTTCAGCTGCACAGCTCTTGCTCTCGCTTGACTGTGAGATGTGTCGCACTACGAAAGGCGTGGAACTTACGCGTGTTACATTGATCGACGCTGACGAAAATATATTGTTGGACGAATACGTACGTCCAAAAAATCCCATTGTGGACTACTGTACTCGATATTCTGGTATTACGTGTGATATTATGGAGACTACAACAATGCGCTTAGACGACATTCAAAAACAGTTTTTGACTTTTGTGCCGGCCGAAGCTATTTTAATAGGTCATTCGATCGAAAACGATTTGAAAGCGCTTCGAATTTTACATCGTCGAATTATTGACACTGTAAGCATGTATCCGCATCCTAAAGGACCACCTTTCCGCTCTGCGCTGCGTTTCTTGACTAGCAAGTTTCTGAACCGTTCGATCCAGACTGGTACGGATGGCCACTGCAGTGTGGAAGACGCCGTAGCGACGCTACAGCTGGCACAATTGAAGATCAAGCATGGACCTACATTTCCGACCATAAAGCATGAGTTCAAGCAAAAGAAAGTGGTAAACGAATTGGCTCGGACTAAGAAATCGGTCCTCATTGTAGACTCGCAGCGTGCATGTCGATCGCTTAGTGGCGGTGTGGCTTGCATAATTTCGCATGAAGACCCCAATGAGGTTGTGCAAACGGTAGTGAATCAGTTGACTACAGGGTTTCCGCCGCATCTTACGTGGGCAAGAATACGCGGGACGAATCGTTCCGATATCTTAGCATTTGTGCGAAAGATTCAAGCTAATATGCCCAAAGACTCATGTTTTGTTACGGTCTTAGGCGGGGACACTAATGAACTACGCGATCTCCATAAGCGTCGCACTGCACGAACAGATCCCCGAAGTTCGCTTATGTGGGACGAACAACAGCAAGAAGCATTGAACGCATCAGCTTTGGCGGCTCAGACGGGGCTTGTATACATCTGCTTGCAATAGCGAACGATTGAGATTAGTGGACTTTTCGATACAGTCACAATGAGTATTAAAATGCTCGAATTTAAAAACAAGCATCAGTTTTTGATGACATCCTAAGCGATGACCTACATTAATCAGAGGACATAAAGTACGCTTACGTAGCCTCGGGAATCGTCCAGGTGGGAGGAACGGGTCCAACATCGCTAATTATTTCACGATGGCATGACCACACGAGCTTGATAGCTTCTGGCGTACCGATACCGCCGGCGCATGGGTCACCAGCTGGGCCAAACCAGTGATTTTGGGGTGCCCCTGTGGTTCTGGCGCGGATACCACTGTAAGTCGTGCCATTCACCGTCGCCGCCAGCACTTCATTGGTAAAGTCTTGGTCGTTTGACACAACAGCAGCAGTGAGGTGAGCATTCATGCGTTCCAGGGCCTGTAAAACTTGCGGCAACTCATTATCGTCGTATTCGGTCAGAACCTGAAACGGGCCGAAAATCTCTGTTGTCACGAGCTCAAAATTCTCGGGCTTGACAAACTCTTTGAGCGGGACGAAGATCGCGGTCGGCTTGAGAGCACCATACTTTTCTGGAATTGTATGGCTTTCCAATTCTTCAGCACCAAAAGCAACACGTGACCCAGGAATCTTCAACAGAGCCGCAGCGTGGTCAAGCATTCTCTTTGTCGTAACCGTGAGCACAGGGCCAATGGTTAGATCCGAGAGCTTTCGTCGATTAGCAAGCTCAGCAAGCTTCTTCTCCAGACCAGCCTTGACCCAATTTCTGTGCATGAAGAGAACTGACTGCGCCGAACATTTTTGTCCAGAGCAAGCGTAAGCATCCTGGACACGAAAGTGTTAAAGTGACTGCAGGGTCTCATCATGTCAATCAAATAAACAGACCTGGTCGGAAGTCCAGGCAACATAGTCAAAGTCACGCACATCAGGTCCTAATACTTTCCAATCGAAGCCGGCATCCTCTAATTTGATACGACCGTTTAGATCTTTTGCAAGCTTCTCGGCAACTGCCTGCGAGCTATTTGAAACACAGCACGAATTCATATCAGCTGCTAATAATTCAAAATGTACTTTACGTACCCTGTGAAAAGCGTATTGCGCGGCTTGATTCGCAATAACAAATCATTCATTACCGCACCATCTGAATTGATGAAATCCACGTCTGTCATAGGCATGCCACATTCGTGCAGTAAGCGTAGAGTTTCCTGCATGACGATCGATACCTTCGAGTCTACTTTCAATAGCACCTTGTTACCCATGTACAAAGCGCCCATCATTTGAAGCACAGGGATCTCAATAGGAAAATTAAAAGGCGTGATTAATGCCACAGGACCATAAGGCCAGCGGTAACCAAAACTGGTCTGTCCAAGATGGTCGCCCGGTACTCCAAATGAGCGCGCCAAAAAGCGTACTTGATCTCCGGAAAAGTTCTCGAGAAACTTGCCCGTAACCTTAACTTCATTGCGAGCTTGAAAGTAGCTCTTAGGTGATGTTCGCTGCACCAATCGCGCAAAGTAATCAGCCACTTTTTCCTCACGGAACATGGCTCCGGCCTTAGCGCTGACTTCACCATACATGACATAGCGCTCGACGTTTTTAAGAGGATTATGCAAACCATGTTTTGGACAGCTGGTCATACTTTCCACGAAAGGATCTAGCTCATCCTTTTGTGTAAGCGGCATAGTCATAAAAGCCTCGCCATTCAACGGGTCCACGATAGTCTCTGTCTTGTTAGTTTTTGTCCATTTTCCGTTCACAAGATTAAAGCCGTCAGTAGGCTCAGCACCGCTAAAGTTTGGATCTACAGTTGCAAACGACGGCAATGAATTTATGGATCTAGCTGCGCTCAGGACGCGGCGAGACGGAAGTACGGATGCAGCGCGCAGAGATAACATAGCATCCAACTATTATCTAGGTTTGATAAAGTATCACAGCGCGTCCAGAAAATTTGAATTCAATTGCTATTTTGCTTATCGAACGGACCTTTATTCGAATCTTCATCATTAAATATACTGATATTTCTGTACTTATGAATATTCACAATTACACCAAGTGTGATGTGAATTTTTAACAATCGCACTTGTTTTATTTCACACAATTAAACCAGATATGTAATGCTTAAGTACGCAAGCCACAAAGATATGAACAAAACACTGACGTTTACACTAACTTTGTCTCCATAAACACTACGCAAAAGTGACCTCTTTACTCCGCCTGAAGTTCCACTTCACACACTGTAATTTACCGTGCCTGCTCCTCTGGGCATATTGGCACGGAAATTCAGCTAATCTGCATCGAGTTCAATTGCGCAACAATCCCCCAGATCGCGTTTGAGCGGATAAAATATTTTTGGTGAGTGTGCCGAGATGTTCTCCGATGGGAACGGTCCCAGTTACTTCTTAAGTCTCGAACAAAGACATCCGCCTTCACCCGGGTGTACACAGCCTAGAAAATTCCAAGGCAAAAATGGGGCACTCACTGAACCCTCAGCATCCCCACTGCAGAGTATCGGTTTCTCGGTCCTAACTAAATTTGGCGCAATGTGCTTTGATATCCCGCCATGAAACTCACAATATCCCGTCGTTTCTTGTGAACTGATTGTTGTTCCAGGATCCCAGCTTGCTTTGCTGTAACGGGATTACACATACCCTGGTAACAGCGGGTGAGCGTCACACCAGATGTGCATGGTGTGACCACACCCAAAGAAGAATACGGTACAGGGCTAGATAGCCAGTAGTTATACATGTATTTAGATTTTTCTATACATGATTAGGAGAATCTATGCATTTGAAATTAGGCGGCTTTGCCGCAGATAAAAAAATAAAGTCAGCTTTTGAGTTTAAACGTAAGAGCTAACTAGCCTTTGGTTAAGGTTTAAATTAA